TCATCTTCAGTGTGTTGTTTTTTACAAGGTTATAATTTAAAGGCTAAATAAAACAGTACAATGTAGTACTAAAAACCTGGTCTGAGACTGAACCTGTTCTGAGTTTAGGTTTTTACAGACAGACAGACAGACAGACAGACAGACAGACAGACAGACAGACAGACAGACAGACAGACAGACCTGTAGTCAAACAAAAAGATCAATGTTACTTCTCACGGTCGACTCACATTTAAGCTTAGATCAGTTACTGTGTTTTTGTCACTGACACCAGAGTCCATTCAAAAAATCAATAAAAATATCACTGGACTCTGCAGAGGATCAAACTGTGAATGTACTGAGGCCAAAACATCAAACATGTTTCATAGTGTAGGATTATTATAGAATAAATTCACAATGAATCATGAAAACATAACATGAAACCAAACAATTAATTAAATCATATTTTAAGAATGTTAAAATATGGCTCTGCGGCCTCATCACGGTACCAGAGCTACGTATTGATCCAACCTGCAGAGTCTAAAAAAACCAGCTGTTGTCTGAGTCTCAGCAATAACTCATATTTATCACTCAAAGCTAGCTGTCAGCTGATCAGGTGATTTATCACATCTGATCAGAGAAGGAACCAATCAGAGACTGACGCTGCACCAGAACATTCTTTAAAGAAATCCTACAGTTTATTCAGTTCAGTGTTTTTCTACAGGAACAAGTACAATTATCTTTTTTATTGTGTGAAACCTTTAAATCTGCTGAACAATGATCCACAGTGTGATTTGTTTATAATGTTTAAATATAGAAACAGATTAATTCTGCTGGAAACAGGATGTGAACCCCGGATTTAATAACTGGGTGAACCTCCGCTGAAACCAGCTCCTTCAGTAGCTGCTGATCAGAGCTGCTCAGTGTTCAGGAGCAAGTTTGGACCATTCATTCACTGGACCACACCACACGGTGGATTTTCTTTGATGTTTAGGGCATCAGCAGCTTCTCTTGAGCTTCTGCAGGTGGACAGCCACGTTGACATTATGGGCCTATGAGAAACCTCGATAAACTTGATGATGTGGAGCTGTGTGCGCATGTGTACTAGCCTCATTTCCAGTGACACTCCCCTAATTAATCAGTTTACATATAAAAATGCTGTATCCACCACAAGTTATCAGGCACAGAGAAGAAAGACGAGAAAGAAGCACAATTTCACTGATTGTGAAACTGAGGCAGAAAGGTGCATCATTTTACTTTACTTTAATACAATCACTCCAAATGTGAAGTCCTGTGTCACTCTGAACTTCATTTATTGGGACTAGAGATGTCTTAATCAGGTTACCATATGTGTTGAAAACTGTGATTAGTAAATATCAAAATACTATGAAACAGAATTACAGAATGACACAATAAATAAGGACATTAAACAATGTTGAAGGAAACATTGAGCACACAAACACATTATTACTGTTTATGAATTGTAAAATTGTAAAACTTAATGATAATGATAATGATAATGATAATGATTATGAACTTCTGTGAAGTTGATTATTTTATTTTTTGTTAAATTACATGGCTTATCATTAACTTCACTGTAAATTGGATCACTCTGGAAAACTGTGTGTACACATAGTCAAAGGAACTATGGTATTTGTGTGTACGCATCATTTATGCATCTGACTCTTGGTCTGATAACTCCTGACTCCAGGTAGCTTCTGTTCATATCCTTAACTGAGGTTCACACACTGTTTCAGTTGCACTGTGAGTGTTTGAATCATTTTTCAGTAAGAATAACACAATGATTTGTGTTATTAGTCAAAACAAATTGTTTTTGTTCATCATTGTAACTTAAATAAAGACCTGATCAGATTTTAGGACAAATTATTAAATAAATGAAGATGACTCCACAGGTTCATCCCCCTTTCTTTCTGCAGTATCCATCATCAGCTCCACGGCCTTAAAGTAGAAAAATAAAACAGAGGCCACACCCAGGAGGACTCTGAGAGGGTCCAGAGGCCCCAAATTAGTTTAATCCAGACTGGAAGAGAATATTAAAGAAATGTTTCTGTAGAGGACAGAGAGACATACGTTATTGCTGAATAGTATTATTCCTATTAATGCTGAAACTAATGATTTCATCATCAGTTTAATCATCAGTTTAATCCACTGATTTTTTTCTCAATAATCGATCGATTGTTTTATAAATATAACGTCTTCAGTCTCTTCTGTCCTACTAACACTTCACACTCAGCTGTCATGTGACCAACCGGCGGCTGGTTCTGCTTCTACTAAAACAGCTGCTGCCATTGACTTATCAATTAATCTAAACTGCTGCTCTACTCAAATACATGACTATTAAAATAATCAGAAATATATCTTAGATATGTAAAGACAGTGACTGTGGAGAAGCTCCACCCTGATGTAGGTGGAGCAGAATGAACCAGAGGAATAAACACAGACATCCTATTCTCTGCTGGTCTCCATCTTGCAACGTTGGTGCTGAGGAGGGGGAGGAGGGGGAGGAGGAGGACCACCCGGGTTATAACCGGGTTAAATAATACGGGAGCAGATCAGCTGGAAAACGGCGAGAACATGTAAAACCGGATCCGGCTTGACCCGCAACAACATCAGAATCCAGAGGAAATCCTCCTCCTCCTCCGGCTGCCATTTTACAACCACACACACACACACACACACACTCTCTCTCTCTCTCTCTCATGATTTCATCACGCGAACACTGAACATTGATGTAAACGGACAGTTGGTGTTATCTCTCCTGCAGACAGTGCGCAGGGCTGAGCAGACCCTCTCTTCCCTCTGGAAGCCTCCCGCAGTCCGCCTCAGAAAACATCCCCCCCCCCCCCCTTCACCCGGGCATCCTGAGCGCGTGAACACGGTCTAATGAGTCAGATGTGAGAGATGAAATGAGGATGACACAAACATCTGCAGCGCCATCGCTCCTGATTTCATCAATAAAAAAAGAGGAATCAGCTGATATCTGGGATTTCAGGCTGATTTCTCTGTTTTCTCTCCGCTGTTATCATCGCTGCTCCTCACGGCTCCGCGCTGCGGCCCATCACAGAGATGCTTCACCGGGAGACGCACACAAAACCCGCCGGGCCGCCCCGAAACACGACACAAACGCATCCCAAGCACAAGACACGCACACAGGTGTGAAAATAAAAAGCAGAACAGATGAAATAAGGTGTGAACGTTCAGTGTTTGTACCTGGTTTACGACGTCCATCCTGCCGCCTGTCGAGAGGAGAGAGAGGAGATGGAGGGAGGAGGGGGGAGGAGGGGGAGGCCGGGGGGAAGGAGCTGTCTCTGTGACCGCGTCATTTATTTTTTATTTACTATTAATTAGAATCAGAAGCTTTAGCAGCTCAGAGGAGGTTTGATGTAAAACAAGCAGGAGATGAAAGGGTTAATGAGCGGCTGATTCCCGCCTCAGCTGCAACATCTGCACATGTATCAAACACACACTTCTATCACATCAGATTAACTACTGGGATATTCAGGGGCGTGATTGCGTCATCATGATAGTAGGAGGTGTTGACGTACGATGATGATGATGACTGTGACTTGTAAATGTACCACGGGAGGCAGGAAGTGGTGTAGAAACAGCCTTGGACCATAGATGTATTATAAGAATTTATATATATTATATAATATATATTATATAATAGTTATAATAATAATAATAATAAGATAATATCCATGCCTTGGACAGGTCTCTGTCTTGCATATTGACCGCATATTTAATAATATTATATTAAAAATGTAGAGGGGACACCCACACCATCTACAGATGATCACATATGACTAGAGGTGAAATGGTATAAAAATATTTTATATTATATATAAATATTGTTAAAGTGTTCTGAAAAAGTAAATTTCACCAGGTTTTATTATTGTTATTATTGTTATTGTTAACATAATTATTATGAATGTTATTATTTCTTTCAGAGTCTTTCAGTGCACAGACACATATGAACACACCTGTCGCCTTCCCAGCATGGGGCTGTTACACCAGAAGCACTGTGGCTGCACTGCTTGAGGATGACAGAGTGACATGCAGCCCTGAAATTAGTTTTAAAAACACACAGTCATAGATTGAAGCGTCTCACATGGACGCTCCCTGTGTATGTGTGTGTGCTCTGTAAGTGCATGTGATGACATCGCTCATTGTGCACAGAAAGGCAGACTGTCTCTGGTTGATGCCGTACAAAACCTAACTTGAGTTAACAACAGTAATTAACCACAGTAATCAACCATGGTTGTAGTGATAATTGAAATTTAAACGGTAATACTAACCGTCATTTTTTACTGTGACTTAGTGTGAAACCGGTAACCGTTTCATTTCTACACATGACGCAGCATTCACAATATTTATTTCATGGAAAAATTCAGATGTTACAACTGACCCCAGCCCTGGAGACAGGTGCAACACAGATCAGAGACAACTGCAAAAAAAAATTATTAGTCTTTATAAGAATGAAAGATTTTAATAAACATGAATTCAGTAAAATTAAATATAAAAGAGAAATGTGAAATTTGCTGTTCTGCCAACTACAAAGCAGATAATACAGATAATGCCCTGTTACATAAGTGTGTGCAGAGAGCCTCAGGCCGACACACAGGCAGTTGTGAGTCCAGATGTTGAACCTCTGTAATTTAACTCTTTTAGGTGAAAGCTGAGTGCAGTGATATTAGTCAGAGAGCAGAGGGAGCTGAGACCAGATCAGACCTAAGGCCACAGTCTGAGAGGTCAGTATAATCTGTGACGCGTTCAGGTGCACTTCCTCTGAGTACGTGAATCTCAAACCTGCAGGTAACAATGAGTCAGTTACACTTTATAACAGCTTGTTATTTACAGATCTCATCCTCACTGTGTCATTAACACATTTAAATGGCCATGTTCTGTATTTTATATTATTACATGTCTTTATTATGTTATTTTTTCCTTCCACAGCTGCATTTGACAAAGGTGCATAGGCGTAGGTCAAGGATGTGTTGAAGATGTTGGTGACCCAGCCAGAGATGCCATCTGGTCCAGCAGCTCTCCTGCTTTTTGCCCCCACAGTAAAAGTACTTCCTGTGAAGTATCACAGTAAAAGTACTTCCTGTACTTACAATATCACAGTAAAATTACTTCCTGTAGTTGCAGTATCACAGTTAAAGTAATGTGAAAAGTATACAACTTTAGTGCAGTAGAAATGTAAAAGTAGAATAAAATGGAAATACTCAAGCAAAGTACAAGTACCTCAAAATTGTTCAAGTACAGTAGTTGAGTAAATGTACGCAGGTATTTCCCATCTCTGACTGTTGGTCACAGACACAAATGTGAAAGATAAACTGACTCGATGCTCAGAGTTACATCAGAATGAACACTGTGATCAAATGAGTGAGGTAAAACAGAAACTGATGCTCAGCGAATAATCACACATTCAGTAATGTGACTTACTGGCGGAGTTCTATATTTACTGTCAGACTTTAGCCTGTAATCAGTGTAGTTCTGTGGAAATTGGCCTCATCACTTCTTCTTTCAGTATGTGACCACACAGAAACACAAGGAAATGTGAAAAGACACATGTAAAAGAAACCTAACACACTAAGAATCACAAGATCCAAATAAAACAGAAAGTTGTTCCATTTATCCAAAAATTAATTATATGTTTATTTAAAAAACATCAGTTTACTTTTTTGATCAATCATGGGATGGAAAAACTTGTCTCACTTATACCCAGAGTGTGAATTATGTAATAACAATAGGGGGGGGGTCAACTTTTTCTCCAGGTGAACGGGAACCCAGTACAGAGCCTCAGTTAACTGAAGTGTTACAGACCTAAAAATTATTCTTGTTTAACTAAAGCTGTCAGATAAATGTAGTGGAGCAGAAAGTACAATATTATATTATTGGAAGTATAAAATGGAAATACAAGTAAAGTAAAAATACCTCAAAATTGTACTTAAGTACAGAACTTAGAGTAAATGTACTTAATTACTTTCCATCATTGCTAATACAATTATTGAGCCTTCAGCACTATTAACATGAAATAATAAACTCTATAATGTAGTCAAAACACATCTCTACAACAACTACTCCTTCATTGTCTCACTGTTCATAACTAATGATGATGATCAATAATGAAATAACTTAAGGCTAAAGTTAGAAACTAGCAAACATTAACTAAACTGTAACTTCAAGCTAAACTTGAAAAACAGCTAACATTAACATTCATCTGTAGATACTTGACATGATTTAATTCAGAAACTCTGAAGGAAAGGAAGTAAAGTGTAGTAAACAAGCTAAATAGTTAGCTACTGTTAGTTACATTTACAGCGTCTTTGTGACACATGGGAACAGGGAGACTTAAGGACAGAGCCACTGATGGAGTGAGGCAGGCAGACTATGTTCATAATTACAGGTATTACAAGATTATATAAATGTTTCAGCCCCACAAACTGCTGTTTTTACCTCTTTTGGGGGGGGGGGGGGGGTTCAGACCCCCCCAACCCCTGCTGTAATTCAAACCCTGCTTATACCATGTACCAACAAAATCTCTTATGTAATCAAACAAAAATATTAGTTGTACATTTGCTAATGTGATCAGTGACAGTGTATTAGAGCCCATTGACCCCATCAGGCTGCCGACAGACACTGCAATGTGTTCATATCTTCTGCTCGTCACTTATAAATACCTAGGTGTGCACCTGGACAATAAACTGGACTGGTCCCTGAACATGGATGCCATCTACCGGAAGGGGCAGAGCCGGCTCTTTTTCTTAAGGAGGCTCAGGTCCTTTGACGTCTGCAGTGAAATGCTGCACATGTTTGATCAGTCAGTGGTGGCCAGTGTACTTTTTTATGCTGCAGTCTGCTGGGGCAGCAGCATGTCCGACATGAACACAAAGAGACTGGACAAACTTGTAAAAAAGGCTAGGTCTGTGCATGGCAGGAGTCTGGACGCACTCAGGACTGTTGTGGAGAGACGCATGCAATGTAAGATGGGGGTCATCTTGGACAATACCAACCACTCTCTCCACAGCCTTCCGGCAGGACAGAGACAGGGACATCCATAAAACTTTTGACATATGTTTCTGCTGAGACGTGGCTTCCCAGAAGTTTATCCACATCCACACAAATGCTTATTGAGCTTTATTTTCCATAGAATCTACATGGTTATTCACAAACTTTTCTGGAAATTCAGATGAATTAAATCAAACTTCTGCAAAATTAATTTCAAAAGCACACATAATTTTATAGGAAACACTGCATCAGCATGTAGTCATACACACACACGCACACACACACACACACACACATGCACAAACACAGCTTAGCCCTCTGGTCGTCCAATCACGTTGCCAGTTATGTTTTGTGTTGGGAGACAGTGACGCACTAAAACATATATAAATACACAGGTTATCATACTAACAGCAGGTTTACAACTTGTCATGAACGTCTAGTGATTCTTCAGAGAGAAGATTCCACTTCACTCCATTGACCTGAAGACGTCAGCTCTCACTTCTGTCTGTGAGTATTTTCACTCTTTACCTGTTTGTGTTTTTGACTGTCTATTGTCAGTTAGCAGGTCTGGAGATTGTAAGGATACAAATGTTAATGTTAGCATGTTAAGGTCAACACGCTAAAGGTAAAGGTAACATATCAGTTGTGTATAATTAGTATGCTGACAGAGTTCAGTCATGAGTTTAGTTGGTGCCCCCCCAGAAGGAAAAGATTGTGGCAAATAATTGGACCACATATTGTCTTTTGCCCAGTTCCTTGGCCCAAGTCCTGCCTGCATACAGCATGACTGTCAGATGCTGGTTGTCAGGCAACACTGGAGGATAACAGCTGGAATAAGTATGTGGGCCAGAATTGGGCCGGGGACCCAGGGATATGTAGGACATGTTTTGCTAGGCCGGTAGGTAACAAGTGTCCAAATGAGACTACAGAGGTTGTTGGGGACGTTAAATGTTGAATATGAAAACCAATCTACTTACCAGTGCACCTTTACAGCCTTGTTGTGTTTATACTTGTGCTCTTACAAACTGTTACTAACTTTGTAAGAGGAAAGGCTTTTGTAGAAGAGGTAAGAGCTAAATCAAACTACAGGTTGAAGTTTAGTGGTGATGACGTTGATGTCATGTGACCGTGGTGTAGTTGGTTTGTAACCTAACATTAGCTTTTTACTTCTGCTGATTGTATTTAGGCTTCAAACATCATAAAGTGGTGTTTATTATATATCATTAGTGAAGATCATCCTGCTGAACAAAACATGTCAGTGTCATGAACTATTTTCAGTAATAATCCAAAAGACAATGGAAAAAAACCATTGGCTTTTAGTGGAGGGACCCAGGGTAATCATAACTTCAGGGTTGGACTAAAAGCATACATCATCCCTGTAGGACTGTATTAAGGTGCCAATTGGCCCCTATGACATCACCGAAAATGTCCAATCTGTGAGTTATTTTATGGGTTTTGGTTGGTTTGTCAAGAGTCAGTGTCAACATGAACCAAACTAAACAGTAACTACGGATCATTTTCCTTCCTTGGCCTGGATCAAATAAACCAAACCAAAGGTGTGAGAGCACCTATAGGTGCTGGTTACAGAATCCAGAGAAGCCACCCCATATCACCTCTGTGGCTCCAACATTTTCTCACATTGGAACCCCTCATGTAAATAATGAGTACACATGATATACAAGTATACATCTTATAAATGAGGGGACTAACAACAAATTAGCCGTACACTAGTTTAATAAATCTTTCTTGTCTTTTAGGAATTCAAAGTCGAGACACTACATTTGAGTGTTAACTTCAAACAAGGCCCTCAGACCCTGACCATGAGTCTCAGTCTCCTGCTGTGGCTGCTTGGCCTCTGCCACACCTGTCTGCTCATCGATGGTGGAAATCAAACAGAACCTGAGTATTATGACAATGAGTTGGACAGTATTGGTGCCAGGATTTTGACTGCCAACAGCATGGCCAGTGAGATCCTGATCGAAGGTGACATACTGCAGACCAGAACTAGAATCCCACGGAATGCCAAATGTCGGGACAACTGCTTATGGAGAAAAGCTTCCAGTGGCTTGGTGCTCATCCCGTACACCATGAGCAACAAATTCTCAAGGTCAGACCAAGACGAGATTTCCAGAGCCATGAAGTCTTTCCACAACAGAACCTGCATCCGCTTCATTCACCAAAACACAAGGGAACACAAAGACTACATCAGCATCAAGAACAGAGATGGATGCTACTCATCAGTGGGCAGAAGCGGTGGCCGTCAGATCCTCTCCCTCAATCGAACCGGCTGCATCTCATATGGCATCATCCAGCACGAACTCATTCACGCCCTGGGCTTCCATCATGAGCAGAGCAGGAGCGACCGCGACCAGTATGTCATAATCAACGTGGACAACATCAAACCAGGAAAGACCAACAACTTCCAGAAGCGTGACACTCACAACCTGAACACTCCATACGACTACTCCTCAATCATGCACTATGGAAAACATTATTTCTCCCAAAATGGCAAAAACACAATTACCCCGATCCCAGACGCTTCAGTCCAAATTGGCCAGAGGAAGGACATGTCAGAACTTGACATCCACAGAATCAACCTTCTGTACCACTGCCATAGGCCCTGAGCTTTTTTGCCACTGTCCAGTGAAAATCTCCAAATTTGGTTATTTAAAAATGTTCAGATAAGGCAAAGTTAGTTTTTTGGTATAATGCCTTTCAACAACAAGTCAAAGTGCTTCACACACCAGCATTTAAAACAGTAACATTTTGCAGTCAAATCAATTCATTTTAATGGAATCAGCGCAAAAGGTGACAAAGCTGACAAAGCTGACCAAACGCAGGAAGCTAACCTATAAGCTGTGATCACTGTCCACCACAGAGACAGGAAGACATCAGACAAATACTGCTTTTAATAAGCTGTGGAGACTTACTGTACTGTTAGCTAACAAGCTAACAAACTTGCATTCTTATAGCATGTCCTGGCTTGCTAGTTTGTTAGCAGTTAGCTCACCAGCTACAATAACTCACCAGCTGACCCCATGAGCACCACTGGAATATTTAGCAAAAATATCATTGTGTACCAGAAAAATATAAATGTATATGTATTTGTTACGTATGTATGAATGTGTGCAGAAATGTATGTATACAAAATGCAAAAATTTTATTGTGTACATTGAACATCTTTGACATAAATGTCATGCAGAATGAATAAACTGAGAAGAACTGAGGCCCCACCCAGTGTTGCTACTACAGTGCTCAGTGTGTGTGTATGTGTGTGTGTGTGTGTGTTCCCTGAAAATTTTCTGCTCCATGATTTTGAATATCACCTGGTTTCACTTCAGGTTCATGAAGCACAGCAACAGAAATATGTACAGTCTATCAATGTATGTAGATATGAATGCGTTCAGGGAGTAGACGTCTCATGGTTCACTATATAATAATATATGTATTATATATATATATACATATACATATATATACATATATACACTGTTGCTCATAAAGTTGGAATAAAATATTTTTTACCTCTTTCCATGAAATGATTGTGACAATGTGATTTATTCTTGACAAATAAAGTGTATATCTTCTCAAAACTTTAGTAGTCAATCTCTTCCAAACATATCACAATGAAAATTAAACCACAATTAAACCACAATTAAACTGAAAACTAAATTATTCCAACTTTATGGGCAACAGTGTATATTTATATATATATACTATATTTTTCCAGTAGTCAAATATTTATCCACATTAAAGGTTATCTTCACAAACAGACATTCAAATTCAACTCATATGCATATTTCATACATACATACAGTACTACATATTCTCGACTTTAAGAGTAATAAGTTGTGATACAAAGGCAATTGAAGAGTAATGACAAGAGGACTTTCAGCCAGTGCTCTAAATAAAGCCTCCTCACATTCACACGTATCATCTATACATCTTAAACAGAAAGGTTTTCCATAGTAAACAGCAGTTTGTACATAGCAGTAAATCAATACATTACATGACACTGGTAACATAATCAAACAAAAGAGAGGAAGAAACTAGAATCACCTGTTCATATTTTTATGCCTCTGCCAAGTATCAGGAAATATGGTCATAGACTGCCATTCCTGAGTTACAGTATTGAATAATGTCCAGAAGTGTTTCTGCAGAATATTATGATGTCACAGTGAAGCTGACCTTTTGGATAGAAATGTCATTATTTAATTTTATCCATATATACATTTGAGTTAGGTTAATTTGAGAAAATCTGTTTTGTGAGGTCACAGTGACCCTGACCTTTGATCTTTGACCTTTGGCTACCAAAATGTAATCAGCTCATCCTTGGGTCCAAGTGAATGTCTGTGTGAATTTGAAGAAGTTCTTTCCAGGTGTTACTGAGATATCATGTCCACGAGAATGGGACGGATGTTCAACCTGAAAACATGATGCCTCTGGCTTTGACTCTCAGCTGCGGAGGCATAAAAAAAATTCTATAACATATTATACTGTGACATTTTATGACTTATCACACTATAACATTTTTAACCTCATATACTATGACATTTTATGACTTACTATATGCTGACATAACAAAACTAAACTTTTTTTTGGCATATCTGTTTTGCATATCTAATGCAGAAAAGGCAGAGAGGACTAATCCTATTATTCACTATACTGTGACAGTTTTTCATGACTTGCTACACTATGACATTTTTTTATGACTTCCTATATTATATGGCTTCTTATACTGTTATATTTTTGACTGACTATTACTATATAAAATGACATTATCATAACCTGTTAAACTATGATGTTATTTGACTCGGTATACTACATTCACATTTTTCGGGCTTAATATACTAAGACATTTTTGTAGCTATATATACTCTAATACTTCTATGCTTTAATGCATATGATTTTTTGTGAGTTGTTATACAATAAATTATAAATAAACGATGCATAAATGATTTACTTGATTTAATTTCTTATATGATGAAATTTTTAAAAATTTTCTATATTATTAGGATTTTAATAATTTCTTATGTTCTCCTCTGTTTTTCCTCACTTATGTGTTTGTTTGTTTGTACCATTTGTAGTAATTATGAGTTATGTTTTTGCCTCAGGGTCATTAAATCTGCTGACAGTGATTCCTGCAAGGTCCAGCCTTCACCATCTCCTATCCAATCCCAGAGCTCTCACCACCTCCACTCAAGTCAACTCCCGGAGCCACCTTAACACCTGGACTCCAGCCACACTGACCTGCAAGCATCGCACCCTTGATTCTCCTGCATGTCCTGCTCCACCTGATCAAGCCTGCCCCTACATTGCCCCTCAACTAACAAAACCCTAGGGATAATAAACCTGGCCTTTGATTTCCTGGTTTCAATAAACCCTCTTTCTAAACCAGTATTGTCTCCAGTCTGTGTTCAGCAACTTGGGTCAAAATCATTCAGTGTGTTACAAAAAAATACTATGACATTTATAAACCTTATTATACAATGGAATTTTTATAACTTAGTATACTGTGACATATTTATGACTTATTATACGATGACATTTTATTACATCAATTATACAATTAAATTGTTGTGCCTTACTATACTGTGACATTTTGATACTTACTATACTATGAAATATATTAGACCTTAGTATAATGCAACATTTTTATAACTTATTATACTACAACATTTTTACATTTATCGACACTATAACATTTTTAGACCTTAATATACTATGACATTTTTATACCTCATTATACTATCACATTTTTTGACAGTTTTATGCCATATTATACTATGCTCATTTATGTCATTTTTATGACATGATATAGTATTACGTTTTTCAAATTCCATGACATTTTTATAACTTACTATACTATGATGTTTTACACCTTATCATATGGCGTTTTTTTAACAGTTTTATGCCTTACTATACTATGACCTTTTTTGACGTTTTTATGCTTTCCTTTACTCTGATGTTTTGTTCCTTATTATACTATGACGTGTTATGACTTACCATAATATAACGTTTTTCGATGTTTTTATGCCTTACTACACTATGACATTTTTGGACATTTTTATGCCATACTATACTATGACATTTTTTGACTTTTATGCTACACTATACTATGACGTTTTATGCCATACCAAAATATGACGTTTTTTGCCATACTATACTATGACGTTTTTTGCCATACTATACTATGCCGTTTTTTGACATTTTATGCCATACTATACTATGACGTTTTTGACAATTTTATGCCATACTACAATATGACATTTTTTGCCATTTTTTACCATATTATACTATGACGTTTCATGCCATACTATACTATGACTATTATTGACAATTTTATGCCATACTATACTATGATGTTTTTTGACATTTTTTGCCATACTATGCTATGAAGTTTTTTGCCATACTATACTATGACGTTTTTTGACAACTTTATGCCATATTATACTATGACGTTTTATGCCATACTATACTATAACGTTTTTTGACAATTTTATGCCATACTATACTATGACGTTTTTTGCTAGTTTTTGCAATATTATACTATGACGGTTTATGCCATACTATACTATGACTATTATTGACAATTTTATGCCATATTATACTATGACGTTTTATGCCATACTATACTATGACTATTTGTGACAATTTTATGCCATACTATACTATGACGTTTTTTGACATTTTTTACCATACTAGACTATGATGTTTTATTCCATACTATACTATGACGTTTTTTGACTATTTTATGCCACACTATACTATGAAATTTTTTGCCATTTTTTACCATATTATACTATGACGGTTTATGCCATACTATACTATGACTATTATTGACAATCTTATGCCATACAATACTATTACGTTTTTTAACATTTTTTGCCATACTATGCTATGAAGTTTTTTGCCATACTATACTATAACGGTTTTTGACAATTTTATGCCATACTATACTATAACGGTTTTTGACAATTTTATGCCATACTATACTATAACGGTTTTTGACAATTTTATGCCATACTATACTATAACGGTTTTTGACAATTTTATGCCATACTATACTATAACGGTTTTTGACAATTTTATGCCATACTATACTATAACGGTTTTTGACAATTTTATGCCATACTATACTATAACGGTTTTTGACAATTTTATGCCATACTATACTATAACGGTTTTTGACAATTTTATGCCATACTATACTATAACGGTTTTTGACAATTTTATGCCATACTATACTATAACGGTTTTTGACAATTTTATGCCATACTATACTATAACGGTTTTTGACAATTTTATGCCATACTATACTATAACGGTTTTTGACAATTTTATGCCATACTATACTATGACGTTTTTTGACATTTTTTCCCATGTTATACTGTGACTTTTTATGCCATACTACACTATGACGTTTTTTGCCATACTATACTATAATGTTTTTTGACAATTTTATGCCATACTATACTATGACGTTTTTTGCCATTTTTTGCCATATTATTCTATGACGTTTTATGCCATACTATACTATGACGTTTTTTGACAATTTTATGCCATACTTTACTATGACGTTTTTTGCCATTTTATACCATGACGTTTTTTGACAATTTTATGC